TTCTTTTCTTTTTAGAATAGATTTTCTCTCATGGAAATGTTTGTGTTCCTTTTGCTAGGTACATGACTTGATATACTTTGGTGCTTCTATTTCGATCAAGAATCAAGGAAGATTGGCACCACATTTGCTAGCATATAGAAGGCAAGATTCAATATTAGAGGTTGTTAGCTTTGAAAGGTTAAAATTGGGTCATAATGCGAGTATTTACACCCACCTAATATCCGGTAATATCCTTCCTTCCTCTTTCTCTAGTGGATGATGACTTGTTGGACATATGTTGGTTTGATTGGATTAATCTCCTTGTTTTTCCCCTCCCGTGGAATATTTGATTTATGTTTGAGCATGTTGTCTCATTCAAGCTTGGGGGAGGGTATTATATCATGTTTGGTGGAATGGTGATTCATATATTTCATGCACCTTTGCATATGCTTTTCCATGTTCTCATATTTTGAAAAACTCCAAAAAGATTTTTGTTTTTATCAAGGCAAATTTTCAATGTGTTTTGTTTTGTTCTTGCTTTGGACATAATAACAATTGGACTTGTATACTTGAATGCTTTTCTCCCTAAGTGGTAGTGGTGTGCACTGTTTGAGATTACGTTTGGTTGATTCTAGGATAAAAACATGCTAAGGTAGTTGTCTAGAACTAGGTGGATCATGAAGCCGAATTCTACTTGTTTGTGGCATGTTGGTAGTTGATCCGTATCTTCGATTTGACAACCTTAGTGAGTTTTTGCTACAACCATGTGAGATTCATACTGCTTTCAACATTTTCTTGCATGAGTGGCGTAGATCCTTGACTTTCGCAAACCTAATCTTGAATCTTAACGTATGATTCCTAAGACCGAGACCGAACCACCTAGGGAGGACAAAGGCATCTTTTCGGGGTGGTACTTTTTCTTTTCTAGGATAGTTTTCATTTTCTTAAGTTTTTGGGTTTACATTTGCCTACTTGCTAACCTTTTGAGGCTCTTTCCCTTCTTTTCAAGCCACATTTCTAGATCTTGAGCCTTATGTTTCATTTTCGTTTCCATTCTTGGTTTTTGTGAAGCAATTTTTCATTATTGTTTGAGTTTGTGGTGGAGGAGTTTGGATATTTGGTTCTCTTGAAAGCAAGTTTGTGTTGTGTATATCTTGTGAATAATGACAAGTGAATAAATGAAAAAGCCGTCCAAAGTAAAAAAAAAGGCGAGGACAAAGCAAGTGCAAAGTTGAAAAAGCCGTCCAAAGTTAAAACAGGCGAGGACAAAGCACTAATTATAAAATATGAAAAAAAAGGGAAAAAAAATAAAAATAAAAAAGGTGAAAATTGCAAAAATATTTTTATATGAGTATTCTTCCTTTTTGGGCATTGAGGACAATGCTCCATTTAAGCTTGGGGGGGAAGCGTTCTCACGCTTTTTGTGTATATGTTTGTGATCTTAGCTTTGATTAAGCTTGGGGGTGTTGGTATTTTTGTTTGGTGATTACTTGGTTATGGTGTAAAGAAATGCGCAATCTTTGCTTCACAATTTAGGTTAACCACCAAATTTTAAATTTAGCCTACCTTAACCCTTTTTGCCTTACGTTACAACCTTTGGGAAGACCTTTTGACCTAGGGGTTGAGTCATTCATTGGTGGAGGGAATCATGGGTTATAGCCTAAGGAAAGGGGATGCGAAGTCAAGATGTCGAGTAAGCCAAAAATTTGATCTTTTTCCGGTTCCATCGTGGAATCTATGAGACGCTCACTAAGGGGAGATATGAGACTAGTAGGGGGAACGCGGTAAGACCATTTGGGATGAGACTAGTTCCTATGCTTAGCATATTTATGTTTCAATCAACCTTAGGTATCTTGGAGCGTGCACTCCCTTACTTCTTTAGAAAGATTTGCATTCATTTGTGCTTGTACATTTTAAAAAGTCCTTTCATGAACATGTGTTTGCTCTTCTTTTCTTTTGATTTCCTTCTTTATGCTTTGCCTTGTTTGTATTATTATGAGAGTTATGGGTTAATCTCTTAGGAAACTTTTACGAGAGCATCACTCGTCCTCTAGGGCGATCTAGGGGTTTATATGGCTTGTCTTTAGGTGCTAAAATTGACCGTGATTCCTACGAAAGTGATTTAGTGTATATTCTCATCCTCTATCTTTCTTGTTTCTTTATTTCCTTGAATAAATTCATCATTTTTCCCTTGGGTTGGATTTTATTTTGCTCGAAGACGAGCAAAAGTTTAGCTTGGGTGAATTTGATCCGTGCCATTTATGGCACCTTTAGACTATGTTTTCTTTATATTTCTATGCTCGTTTTTAGTCGTTTATGTCGTGTTTTTAGGGAATAATGCTTGATTTGCGTGTTTGTGTGTTAGTTTAGAGAAATGCGTGCTTTTAGTGGTTTTCTTATTATTTTATTCATTTCTCGGCTTTTTCCCTCGCTTCTCCGTTTGTTTGACTTGTTTTGTAGGTGTGTCGAGCTTCCCGGGATTTAATCATCAAGGAGGGAGCTCAATTGAATAAGGAATTTAACGGAGCCAAGTTACGGAAGCCAAGCACGCAAGTCAAGCCAATCCAAAAAAACAAAGGAAAATGAAGGCTTACAAAGTATCAAAAAGGACCTTTGTGCATTGTTTCGGCCATATCTCGAGTTTTGCAGATCAGATTGAGGTGATTCAAGTTGGGTTGGAAACTACACTTGAAGAGCTTTCCAATGATAGGTGACACGCCTTCATAAGATTCCTAGATCGTGAGTTACAGTCTTCCAAAGTTGGCCCTGCAAATCTGCCGTAACCCATTTCTGCCATTTTGGGCAGTAACTCTCCGCGGGCTGGCCGCGGGCTTCCCGCGGGCGCAGGCCTTGGCCCCGCAGGCGCGGGATTTAGCCGCGGGCGCGGCTTCCAAGGTGTTCGCGGGCGTGGCCGATTTATCCGAGGGCGCGGACTTCTGGGTCTTTTACGATTTTAAGTTTCTTTTCTCCTTTTGTTTATAGATTGTTTTTGGGGGTTATTATTATCATTCATTCACATAATTCTTAGTATTAGAATAGTTTTCTCTCTTAGGTTGAGAGCTTTTCTCTCTATATTAGGCTAGATTAGGAGTAGTTTTAGAGAGAGAAAGTGAAGGATTTCAATGGTGATTGAGAGATTGAAGATACAAGGGTGACAATTGTGTTCAAGATCTTCTCTATTATCAATGAGCATTCTTAACTCTATCTCACCTTATTGCTTTGTTTAATTTCATGTTTGTTTGGTTTAATTTTGATGTTTGATGCTTGATTAGTGTAATTGTTCTTGATATTTTGTTGATTCTTGATTTCCATAGTTGTTAGTTGATAGATGATGATTCTTGAATAGTTGTTTGGCTAGGAATTGGGTGAAACTTGTATGATTGATTAATTGTGATTGATTTGGGAATTGTGTTGATTAATTGTTGAGGTTAAAGTGATTAGTGAAGGTTTGCATGTGTGTAATTCAATTAGGCCTTGAGAATTATGCTAGATTGCATTGTAATTGCTAATGACATGAACAATTGATTTAGGAATTGCAATTATCGATTGGTTTTGATTGTGATTCTCTTAGTTTGTTATTCATAGTGAACCCTAGCTTAACAATTAGGAGATAGCTCTTTGATTCTTATTGATTGCTCTTATCATTAGTCCTCACAACCTTTGATTGGCATGCTCTTCCCAAGTTGTTGCAATTGACATGATTACTTGTTGATCCCCGTTCCTAGTGTTTTATTTCCTTGGTTACTTGTTTTGTTAGTTGTTAATATTCTCTCTTACCTTCGTCTTCGACTTATCTTAGGCGCATAATTGAAAGTGCTTGAACATTACCGTTCCTTTGGGTTTGACCCTTGACTTGCCTCTATACTCGTATTTAGGTTTGTTAAGTGTTTATAAATTTAGTTTGACCGAGGGAAGATTAGATAACGACCTAGTTTTCCCCTCGTCAAGCGGCTGAACCAGTAGCTGCCTGAGCTGCGGGCGCGCTGGTTATCGCTGTTTTGCAGGATCGCTTTCAGGGGCTATATCTTCAGTTTTAGGTTGTTTATCGGAGTGTGTGACCTATCATTGGAAATCTCTTCAAGTCAAGTCTAGTTTCCTACGCAATTTGAATCGCTGCAATCCAATTTGTAGAACTCAAGTTATGATCAAAAGAATGAAAAAAGGTCATTTTTAATACTTCGTAAACCATCACTTTTCTTCGTTTCTAACTCAAATTCAATCCCGAAAGATGCATAGAGACCCTTATAGATTCTATTATCACTTCATATGCTTATAATGTTTGAACTAAGCTTCCACATATACATATCCTTCATTTAATGACCTCAATTCATCGACGTTTCGTTCTTTCATTGTAAACTATGAAATAAAATGTCTAAATAGTTATGAAAACTACCTAAAAACATTAGAAAAACACAAACGAAGCGTAATAGAGCATAAAACAAACAAGTTATGCATTTGCGACTTGATAAGCGACTAAAAGACCTAAAAAGCAACTATAGTGTAGCATAAACATACCTATAAATCGTATATGGATGTGATTTATCACTTAACACAAATCAAGCCGTGATTGGGGAAAAAAACAAATAAAAAATAAAACAGAATACCTAGCCCTTCTCCCTTCCTCCACCGGACTGCCCAACCCATCTCTCCCTCTCTCGTCGACCCTCCCCCACCCCTGTCATCACCCTCCCCCTTCCCTCTAAATCACAATCCCCTTTCCTTGAAACCCCTTCCCACTCCCAGCCGCTCCCCCACTCTCGAAAGCCCTAGCCGCTAGCTAAAGGCTGTTTTTTTACACGTTACTCCCTTCATTTTTATTAAAGTGTCTAATTTGACATTGACACTATTCACAATTTCACAGGCACCTATTTGATTAGTGTTTGTATTTCATATATTAAATTAAATATAATCATACGAGTAGTTAACTATTTATTAGAATCATCTCAATGCATAATTTTCGAATATCAACTTTATATAATCTATACCTACTAATACTATTATTAGTAAATAAGATTCCTTATTGGCACTTCCACTCAAACTAAAACACTTAAATAAAAACAGGGGAGTACAAACAATAAATCACTAGAAATACTTAAATTGATGTTTCATTCATTGCAATTGCAACCATTATCAATTCTTCTAGCCAAATCTAGAATCCTATAAGAGCATTATAAATATTTCTATTCTATAAAGGCCCACTATGAGGCCATACTCCTCAAAAATAATAGGGCTTTTGAGTTTTACATAGAAAGTGATGTCTGAGTTTGCGATCAACTGCAAAAAAAAAAAAAAAGACTTTATATGGTTTTAAGCCGTACAGAGAAGTCCAATGAAGGTGCTAATACTGAGGCAATACTACAGCTTATATTCAAATAAGAGGGTGTACACAAAAATTAATACAAAAAAAAAATACACATAAAAAAAAAAGTGATTAGCGAGAATAAGGCAATAAATCTATAGAACTTGCAGAAAACTAGCTATACTTCTTTCGGTAGCACCATCTATTATGATGGTGTAGCACATTATCTGCGTCCTGCATTTGGATTTTTAAAGCTGTAGCCTTCACCTCTTTTGTACAATAGCTCAATAACAGTCAATCACCCTTCTACAAGAGTTAAACTATGTTATTTTCTCCAGAGAGTTTGCTTCAGGAAACTTTCATACCAGTCTTAAGTACATTAGAATATAACTGGAACACTACACATCTGGTGGGGAGCAGCTAACATGATACACTTGCCCAGTGTTTGAAGTCTGATCCTTTAGCAGACCTGATGCCGCCTTAGCAGCAAGCAGGTTTTGGTAGGGACGATGTACAGGAGGCAATAATAATGCTGATTGTCTATCCATTGAGATAATCCTTTCACATTTGCTACATAGACAAACAACAAAGGTCAGACAAAGCAAAGAGAGAAAATAAACACCTGTTTTTGGTCACATTATCACCTGCATGCTTGTGTAAATAGGTTCTGATAGCCGCTGATCCAATGCTTCAAAAGCACATATCATAATCAGTAAAACAATGTAAAACCTAGAATTATATTGGACAAAGGATGCTAATAGACATTACAGTGTATCAAGGAACAAATTAATCATACCAGAAGAAGATACAGAGCCATCTCAGATTTATTTCCAAGGAAATGTTGTAGAGCTATATTAGAAAATTCCTGCAAATAGGGGAAGAAAAGTTTTAACTAAATAACCCTTCACATAATAGCATTGTGAATTCTGTAGACAAAAGATAAATTACCGTTATATGCCTATAAGCATTATAAAGTGATGAACCTCTTGCATGTACATGGCTCCCTCCCTGCAAATGAGAAAGCAGCAGCACTCTGAGAATCTCAAAATAAAGTCTAAAGTGCTAATGATTGAACACAACAGCAACAAATCAACACAGCATTGGTATTGTAGAACTCAATTCAAGCACCAGTTACTGGGAATCAAAAGTTCAAGGAAATTGTCAAATAAGGTCTCAAATTTAGGAATATAGAAAAAATTCACCTTTCTCTAACAGTAAACATAACATTTGTTGGCAAACTGCTAGTGACATCATTTATCATTGCGTATGAATTCCTGAACCTAAGAGGCTCTAATTATAGCTCCATCTAGCATCAACTATCCCAATCCCCATGTAACTTAACTTGCAACATGACTACAGTAACAAATCCAAAATGTTATTCCCATATGGATGGGGTTGGCAGCATAAATCAAGAATCTATCTTTTGTGGTCATCCACAGAGACCTCTTCTTCCATTTACTTCTATCCAGTACAACATACTCCTGCAAACACTTTTTTAATGGTGTTTCCGTGAAGTAACGATCCTCCCTCAGTCCAAGTCACCTTAGGCCTCCCTCGGTTTCTTTAGAAATTTCCATAAACCCTCCACCTTCCTTACCAGTGCATCCTAAGGTTGACATCTCACATGCCCAAACCAGCATATGTGACAATCAATCACAGACAGGACAGAATGATTGCTTTCCAAAGTAGTACCTTATCTTTTATCAGGGTTTATTATAACTATTCAACGCCACCTAAAGCTCTCTATACCAAAGATTTTGTAAGGCACAAGCAATTCAGAAGGGCAGGAAATATTGAAAAAAAGAAAAAATAAATAATCACAAGCAGCAATTGCGTAAATCCTTAAGCCCACCAAAAGAAAAAAAGAAAAGAAAAATAAAATATAGAGGGGTATAAAACATATTATGACATTAAGAACGAGCCGTAACCCAGCTTGCACGGCCAAGTGGTCTCAAACATTAAATGCTTAGAAATTTTTTATTACAACTTTATGTCCTATTTCCTATAGTTTCTTCAGCATTTACTCCATATACAGTGCGGAAGAGTATAACACAAGTTGAAGAGACATGCTCAGCATTGTATCAGCACACAGCAGGCAAAATTACAAGCAAAATAAGTGAGTATCATTTTTAAGGTCTCAGAGTGTCTATCTTATTTCACCTGCCACATGAGGATCCCACTACTTGACATTTGCAACTATACTAAGCCCACACAGCTACAATGAGAGTTGTTGTGATGGATCTTATTAGCAGTATTCAGGAAACCTTCCCTTAGTAACTCACTAATCCCAATATTTTTCTAATGCAGGCTTAGAATGCAACCAAGACTAGCACATAAAATAATAAAACAGGCTCCGTCTAATTATTGAATCAAAAATCATGACCCATATATAAGATAATATTGTAATCATGTGTTGTACATACTAGACAATTAAGATGCTACATATACAGTTCTTTGTACACTGCTTTTAATAGGCATATTCTTGGTTGCAAGATGATATTCGTCTTGAAATTACCATACAAAAGGACTTGCATTTTCGGAGGAATTGAACAGAACATACATCTGTTTTGATGAAAGAAGCTTTTCAGATAATAACCACCTTTTATAATATGTTTATTTTCAACACACTGTGGTCACTGTCTACGACATGTTCCTAATAAAGGCACCTTTCTCAACCAATCTGCCTAAATTCAGCCACTTAACTATATGGAAAATAATGTTCCTCATACAAAGTTGATATGTGTTACATGTAAACCTTTTTTAATTTTAAGCTTTGTTTTTTTATGATTGTCCGATTTCAGGATTGAAAACATATAGTTTTTAGAAAATCATTTGGCGAGAATATACAACCAAATCTACATGTGTGTCACTTCCATGTTTGTGCAAGACCATATGATCAAGTATAAATGTAAATATTCCATGGCAAAGCTGACTACCTCATCCGGTGAAAAGAAGGCAACTGCATCAGGATCTGTAGAACCAACAGGGTGAAGGGACACGACAGCTCTAAAGACAGAAGGAATAAATAATTCAACCACAGCAACTTTATCTGAGGAGACATGCGGAGATTCAGGTCTTAAACTACTTGGACCATGGTAGGCTTGTGCCATTGACGTATTAAAGGCATCCTCATTGGCTGACGCAGGAAGTGAAGAAGCTCGCTTCAACCACTCTAACCTTTCATAAGTGTAAATCTTCATGTCAGGCACTTCTTTCTCCAGACTTTCTAAAGTATCAGTTAGTGTCCTGTAATTACTACTTTCTTCTGGGTTTTCGACCAATGATTCTTGAGAAACACATTGTTTCTTTGAAGATGATTCACAGTCAAGATGAGGAAAAAATCTTCGCTTTTGATCTGCGAATGACTTTAGGGCTAGTCTGCAATTTGCAGAAGGATAACTCATAATTCAGTAGGATTAACAAGTAATAGACTGAACATTATCTTGATGCAATTAACTCTATCAGCAAGATAATAAGAAAAACCAAAAACAATGTTTAAAATAGGCACCTTTTTGAAATTGAATTGTGCAATTAAAGTACATAATGCTAGAAATATGAGTGATGGCAGAATTATTGGTTCATGTATGAGACATTTGACAAGCGCACTTTAGGGCGCGCTTTAGAGCATATTTTAGGATGATTTTGGATGTATTTGGGGCCGTTTTGGCCGATTATTACCTTGTTATGCTTACGTTCCCCATATTACGTGCTTCACGGGTTTTCGGTTTGTTTTTGATGTGTTTTCAGGTAATGTCAACCGAGTTTAATCGGATCCCGAGCCCTTGATGCGTAACCGAGCTAGCCTTGACCGAAGTCCGATGAGTTAAGGAAGTTCAAGTGCCGTGCATTGACTACATAGCACAGGCACCACGGCCGTGTTACCATAGGCACACCCGTGCTGGCCTATAAGCAAGCAACCCCAGGCAAGGCAGCACGGCCGTGTCAGTATCCACGCACCAGCACGGCCGTGCAGGCCATTAGCACGGCCGTGCCAGATGTTGCCCTTGCCCGTGTCAGCTTCAGTACGAGCCCCGTGCTAGAGCATATTCAGCACGGCCGTGTCATTTTTAGCACGGACGTGCCAGGAAGCTGCACGGCCGTGCCAAATTGAAGAAGAAATCCGGTTTACTTACTGACAAGCTAGCACGGCCGTGCCAAATACAGCACGGCCGTGCTGATCCAGGGTTAACTGCGCGCTTGACTTCTCCGAATTAGAAGACGTATATAAGGCTCGACTTTAAGAGGACTTTGGAGACAGTTTTAGAGATAGTTTTTGAGAGCCTTTGTAGAGAGTTATTGGAGAACGTTCTTAGTATTAGAGATTCATTAGTTTTCTTAGAGATTATTCTAGCGATTTTAGTTTTCTTGGATTGATTTGAAGCAAGATTTGCGAAGATTCTTTGTTTTATTCATTGACGACGGATATCAAAGTTCTGAACTTTTCCATTGATTCGCATCAATACAATTGGTATTATTCATTCTTGTTTATTAATCAAGCTTTATTATTCCTTAATCAGAATTCATGTTTATATTTATTATGCTTTTGGAATTCATTATTGCTTTGATTATGAATATGTGTGAGTAGTCTCCTAGCTAGGGTTTCGGGATGAAACCCGGCCTAGGTAACCTATGTAATTGAGGATTGATTTTGATAAACGGATTGTGATTAAATTGATTATATGCGATTGCATGTTAATTCATTATAATAGGAGTAGCTAACCTAGAATCTTGAATTTGATTGCATGATATTCTTGATTTGAACAAGAGATTGTGAATTGAGTATTTCATTATTGAATATGGTTTGATTATGTATCGAGTAATGTTAAGTGCATGAGAAATCCAAGCTTAGTATTGCCCGTTGTCTTCCTATCACATGATATTGATCAGACTTATAGTCTTTGCATATCCCGTTTATCTCTGTGATTCCTTGTTGCTTAGTTACCAATGGTTAGGCGGATTCCCGTTCTCCCTAGTGTCTTAGTTTATTGATTTATTCCATCTTATTAGTAGTATTTTAGAACACCATTTTCATTGATTTCGAACTAGATTAGGTTTAAGATTAATTTGCAATTACTCTCGTTCCTCGTGGACCGAACCTTTATTTGCCATTGTACTTGGTTATAGGGTGTTCGTATAAGTATTGTTTGATTGAGAGTTAGATTGTAGCGACCGATTTAACCTTCGTCAACATTAAAAGAGATGAATGGCAGAAAAATCATTGGCAAACAAGAAAAAATGATTAGTTAGAAACATTATGATAGAAAGAACATGGTGAGAATGTCATGGCCACAAAGGACTTATGCCTAGATAAGAACTTATAAGCTCCCTTTAGACTATATAAAATGGTACATATTGATAATTTCCATCACCTGAACATACAAATCACAAGATAGATATAAGTTCCCTTTGCACTAATATATGCAATTTAATAGACAATTAACTTGAATGTGCAGAAACTACGGTCTCATGTACCTAACGCATTTCAGGGACATATACAGTATAATTAAAAGTATGGATCCAAAACAAGGCATCACAATTATTAGCTCAAGTAAAAGCATCACACCCTCCAACACTCTAAGAGTTTTATAAGTAGAAAACACTCCATTCTTCAAGATTAATTTTCTATTCCTATTTTGAATTTACCTTGCTAAAACTTAATCACATCAATTTTTTATTTTTACTCGTTTTGTATATCGGCATTTATTATATGATGATCTTGATGGGATGCGGATGTAGAACTCTCTCTAACCTCATTGTTGAAGCTATCACTCCATGATATTAAAATTTTCTTCATAGTACAGATTTTTGGATCTTTGTTGGTCCTTGGATCTCTCAGTTAGACATGTATAGTTTCTCATTTGCCCAATGACTCGTATTTCATTGACAATTAAACACACACATAGGCCGAATTTGGTTCAATTTTATTTTGACTTTCTAAGAGCTCATAACATGAAGCATAATCTAATACTTCATTCCTAAAAGTTTGACCCTCTTGGTTTTTACATGGTCTCCATTGCACATCTTTGACCATTAAACAACTTTGCTACGTATACGTGATATTATGAAAATGAAGATTTACATTGAGGCTTAGGCTCATCATGGGGCTTTCTCAATTGTGCAACCCTTTTTTCAGTAACATGAGTCCTAACAAATCTACAACATTCCGTGTTGCCAAAATCTAATCATAACACTAAGTAAAACATGTAACATTTGAAAAAAGCTAGTTGGACCATGTTGTCTTGCTACTTAACCAACCACTAATCTCGGTCTTATACCCATATAAGCCATGCACACTAATTATATTTAAGCTACAACATCTTTCCAATATAAGTAATGCCATCAAAAGAGGGACATAGTTATGTGCAACCTAGTCATAATGATGATTGCATTAGGCACTAGCCACACAATAGTCCCTCAAAAATCAAAGAAATGAATCAAAGTATGAGCCAAAAGATTAGGCATTTGGTTCAACCAAGAAGTTTGAAACAATTTCATCACATTAATTCTTAAAGCAATGTTAGTTTATTGGTTTATGTAGCTGCATCTGTATTTGCGTCTTGATTGTCTTTTTGTTGGTAAGCATAATTAGTTTAACTGAAATTTGACTCTCAATCCTTGGAGTTTTTAAATGCTACAAAAGCTCAGTTTTATAATGCTTTAAGATGATGTTTTTGAATTGAACTTTTATTGGCTATTGGGGTTATAAGGTTTTGGATGGAGTGAAAGTATAGAAGTAATTTAAGACGTCAGGACAGAATCTGCAGAGAATTAGATACCAGCAAGTAGTTATCTCCTCATGTATATATCTTATTCTTGGTTAGGACATTAAGAGTTGGTTTAGAATAGTTCTAATTTATCTATTCCTTTTGCATGTACTACTCAGTTGTTATTCCATACAATTATTTTATCATTAGTTAGGCCCTATTCACTTCACATTAAAAAAATAGTATTCAGTAAAATTAATTTCAATTCAGTAAAAATAAGTTTAGTTCAATAAAATTAATTTCAGTTCTGTAAAAATAAGTAACTTTAAAGAAGAAATTTAATACAAAGTTAATAAAAATAATTTCAATTCAACAAAAATAATTTCAGTTCAGTAAAAATAACTTAAGTTCAGCAAATATAGTTCCAAATTAGTAATAATAATTTCAATTCAACAAAAATAAAGTGAAGTGAACCGGGCCTTATTGGTTGAATCTTACTACTTTATTTTATGAACGAAAAATGAGTAAAGCTTAGGTAAATCATGTCTTAACTTATATAGGCACTAAGTGAAGTTTAAAGATGAAACCAAACTTTAGTTTCGATGACCTAGATGCAGACCAGCAAAAGTCCAATACAAGTATATAAGGTCAAGACTAGAAAGATAAGACAAGATAAGAGAAAATCACGTGAAATGAACACTAAGTCCCTTGTTAATCCTAACATTCCTAAGTTATGGCTATTGTTAATCCAAACATTCCAGCTTCTTAAGGTCCTTAACTTCTATCCTAGTCATATGCTGGTATGATCTTCCTTAGCCTCTTCTAAGCTCCCCATTTTCTCAACTCTCTACTTTCCTTACAAGAGTGTCTTCTGATCTCACCTTAACATGTCGAAACCACTGCAATCTATTCTCCCTTATTTTATCCTCAATGTCCACAAATCTACTTCATTTCTAATTCTATCCTTTAAGGGGATCCCATACGTCCATCTCAACATACGCGCATCTTTACTACTATCATCTTCCTAAAGTGATCCTTAATTATTTTGATCAATGTAACCTAAGTCGCCCAAAAATATATCCCCTTTCACTTCAAAGGTATGCTCTTGTCTTCATGCTCTCCATTTCAGCAAATGACTTAATCATGTAGGTCACATCTTTGTTAATAACTTCACTTTCAAAAACTCGCTTGTGGAAGCCTTCTTATTATCTAACATCACTATATGTATATCCCTATTTGAGTTCCTCGTAAGGCTAAAACTACAATTCATTTACTCACTCATGCGCTGCCTTAGTCTAAACACCCAAGATTGTAAGTTTTGCCTATGTTGCTCCAATTTGGAATTAAAATCAACTCTAGTCTCCTCCTACACAATAGCATTGGCAAACAGCATACACCAAGGTATCTCACCTTGGATTCTAAGACATGAAATCTTGTGTTACCAAAAATTAGCTCAAAAAGGTGATTATATGATTAAAAATCTAGCTCATGCCACTCAACAATCCTTAAATTAAAGGAGAAAGAAAGAATGAGATGATCAATAAATAATGTGAAAAAAGATAAGGCATTTTCTACAATATTTATTGCTAACTTAAATCCTTATCTCACCTTGTCCTGTCAACTGCAGATGCACCTGCCTGGCCAGCAAGCTGCCTCTTCCAAGCATATGCAACAACAGCACCATCTGGACAAACTAAAGGCATGTGCAATCCCCAAGAGTTGCTTCGTGATCTGAGCGCATCATTGAGGACCCCAGAAGATTCAAGCTGCCTTCCTGATATGAACAAAAGAAATCAGCAGAATATAAGAACAAATCAGAATTATAACACTCAAAAAATAGTACCACTTGTTACATAAATACATAATACTAGCTTGAACATACATAATTTTATGCGTAGTATTTTTTTTTTCTCTCTTTCAAAATTTTGAAACTTTATTGAATGACACAAAACTAAATACAGTACAAAAACCCAAAATGTAAATCATCAATAGAATTCCAATGCTTTGATTAACCCTAAATTTATCAAAGAAATAAAATCAAAACAATAAAGTAAAGTTAGTAAACCCTAGTGAAGTAAAGAGAATGGAGAACGAACCAATATTGCGAAGATCCTGGAGGTGAACACGCATCGCAGACTCTTCTTTGACGATTAAATTGGCGGTTTTTTGAGGCTGATAAGACTCAGCTGACACAAACAATGCCTCAAGTAAGCGATCAGCCCCGATCCTAATGTCGGCGATAAGGCGAGAGGCTTGCCCCAATCTATCCATTGCCATTGCTACCTGCTTTGGCGGTGCATCTTCGCTTGTTTCCGCCGGAACTTGCGGTTGTTGCTGCTGCTGTTGTTGCGGCTGTTGTTGCAGCGATTGTTGCTGCGAATATTGCTGTAGTTGCTGCTGCTGGTGTAGCTGCGGGTGCTGCAACATTTTCAGTCTTCTTAGATGGTGAAGAGGGAGGGAGGGAGGAAGCAAGGAAGTGAAGTTATGCAGCAATTTCAAACTTTTGGGGGTTTGCTTTGATAGAGCTGTTCATGAGTAGTCCGGCCCGTCTGGCCCGTTAAAATTTGGGTCTAAACACCGTTTTCAGAATTTTTTTTTATTAATGGACGGGCTAGGCCCAGCCCGTTTGCAGAAATGGCGGGCATGGACAACAGTAATTAAAGTTCGAGCCGGCCCGTCAGCCCGTTTTGCAAATTAAATCAGCGTTTTTTTTTTACAAAAAGTCAGAATTTTTTTTTCTTTTTTAAAATATACTCAGTACAAGTAGATATCTAGAAGAGTCTTGTATAATTGAGTATTTGAGTGTCATTTATCTCTCTCTCGACAACATAAACAAAAAAAGCCCTAGATCTACAATCTACATTTTCATCTCTTATTACTTCATAGTTCATAATCATCACATCATACTAATCATAGTGAAAGGTAGAATCTTTCAAAGCACAAGATCTACCACAGTACGACATGAATAGCGAGGTAATTCTAATTATCTAGTATTAGGTAATTGGTTGAATGATTGTCTGATTTTCTATTATTAAATTGTTTTTCTTTACTAATGTGAACTAAATTAGATAATATCATGTGAATTTATTTGCTTTTACTCTAATTTGACAGCGAATTCAACTTGTAAGGTTCATATTATGGCTCTTAATAGTCCTAGTATTTAATGGGGTTGTAAGTCTTGTAATCCATTAATTAATATATAACTTTGTTAATTTGTTTAGTAAAACTGTATAATTTAGTTTCAACTTGTTTCTATAGATTTCTTGTGCTTATTATATTGTTGTGCTATTGAGTATAATTGTATATGTAGTATTAAATTCTTTTTTCTCGGCCTAATTCAACAGGTTGTGTGTAATAATCATAGAATGGAGTGTCAATTCACCTGTAGATGTATTGGATGATGAAGATGAACTTCTTTGCAATAATCAAGGCTCTCCAGTTAATTCTAAAGGTAGGAAGTTAACTTCCCCTGTTTTGGCAAAATATGAAAAGACAAGTCTTAAAAGGTGGGAGTGTCAAAGCTACTTATAATCATTGTAAGATTGTAATGAGTGCTAATAGTAATAGTGGCACATCTCATCTTACAAGACATATAGGCAAGTTTCCTAAACGATTGAATTATGACATTAGAAATTTTTGCATTTTTGGTACTCCATCAGTGGGTGGTAGTAGCAACTTGTCATTAAAAAATCCTAGTATTAATTTTGAGGATGTTCGTAGAGCTATTGGGATTTATGTTGTGGCGGGTGCTCATTCTTTAGCTACTTGTGAGGAGGAACCTGGATTTAGGTATATGATCTCAGTTATGTGCCCCCAATTTAATAATATTAGTAGGCACACCATAAGGAGAGATATATTCAAATATTATAATGATGAGAAACAAGTTATTATGGATGATTTGCAAAAGGCTCCTGGCAGAATATGCTTTACAACAGATAATTGGAGAAGTGAGCATACTCAAGATGAATATATGTGCATAGCAGCTCTTTGGGTTGATATTGATTGGAAATTGCAAAAGAGAATAATTAAGTTTGGGGCCTTAACACCCCCATTTTGACGGAGTGTCTCTTGCTGATGAGATTGTATTATGTTTGAGTGAATGGAAAATTGATCACAAGGTACATAGTTTTACCGTGGACAATGCATTATATAATAATAGCATGATTTCTTCTCTTAAAATTTATCTCCAAAAAAAAAATTCTTTTCAGTGTTCTTCTTAACTTTTTTCTCTTCATTATAGCTTTCAGTTTTTGATATTTCAGTTGATACTTGAGCTAGCTGCTTCTCTATCCTGACAATCCTCTTTCCCACATCAAAATGAATGGTTGAAGTTGTAAGGAGGGGGTTCCCATCGTAAGGGGTCCTCTCCTTAAATGCCCATGCCCCTTTAAAAGACTAGGACTTTACACTTGTTAGGGTGTAGTAGGATTTGAATTCCTGACTGTTTGGGGGACATTGAATTAAAATTGATTCTATCATTCCGCTTTTTTGTAAGAAACAAGTAGGGAGTCGCCAATGAGTTTTAGGAAAACTCATAAACCTCGTTCATGCCTTTCTTCCATGTGGAGTTCATGGAATAATTAGCACGAATCATAAGTTTACCCATGCCCAAATTAGTCTATAAACCAGAAATGAGTTCGGAAGCGAGGGTACTAAAATAACGTTCCCTTTAGAGGGGAATCGTCATCCTAGCCCTAGTACGACCTCTACTAGCTCTTCCTTTTTTACAATTTCATCACCAAACAATATATGCAACGCGATACCTAAAACTATGTTAGTTGATTTTATTTACACATACCAATTCACGTAGGAATTACATTGTAATGTCGTTATTCTTTATTTAATCAAATTCGTGAAAATGACAAGAAAATAAACAATATTTGCTTTGGCTTAAGTGATCAACCAACAATTATTTAATTCAGTTCTAATCTTTATCACGCAAGATACTATGTGGAATTGATTAATTAATTATTTTAAAGGTGATCAAACAACACTAATTAATTAATTAGAGTTCTTTTAAACAAGAAAATAAATGTGATTTAACTAAGTGCTCGGGAATTTACCACTTCTCTTTGCTAGATCTCCGTTTAGAATACTTATGGACTTCTTCTTGTTGGGGAACCTCCTCCGTAGTAACAAAATATCAAAAGGGGTGAGTGTTTAGGACAAGAGGGGCTAGGTTGCACAAGTTCACAAGTATTTCGCCAGAGTTTTAGGTTATTTTCTGTCTGTCTAAGCCTCGGTTAAAGCTCTTATTTATAGGGAATGATTAGGTTTAGGGTTACGAGCATTCTGCCGCAGCAGGTATCGCGCTCAACAGGATGAGTTGCGCGCGGCATCCCAGCGCAAGTGATTAGGTTGCGCTGCTATGGGCAGCGTAACTAATTGTCTTGCGCACGGCTTTATGGTAAGATTCGATTTTATATTTTCCGTATAATTCTGAATCTTCCGCAACGCAACTCTAGAGGTTGCGCTGGGTGTCGTGCGCAACTGAATTAGTTGCGCGTGGCAGCCAGGCACGACTGTTTGAGATGCGCACGGCTTTTTCTGCGGCAGCACTAAAATTTAACCTAGGCGCTCCTAAATCCGTCATTATTGGGTTTTAAGCACGGGCTTAAGCCTAATTATGGTCGAGTTTAGTAAATTGGACCTTTGTTTTAGCTTTTATCTTTAATTTGGGCTAGTCTTTTGTGTTTTGTGGCTTAACCAGTTCTCAATTAGTATTCTTCACTTTGATCCAACACGAAGATGGTTTTATTTATCGTCATTGTACTTCATATCGGGACAGGAGGCCAAAAGTAGATGTCTACAATTAGCCCCCACTTTGATCAAGTCTAGAATAGACGATGATCAAAGTAGTTAAGGAAATAAATCCGAGACTCATTCTGTGAAGTTCTCTAAGGATAGAGAATATTTCAGTAATGTTTAAGGATGTCAAAACAATCCTTGGTTCGCTAAGTGTTTGAAACAAGTAGCTATTCAGGCTAGAAAAAGTTTTTCCTAGTCTTAACACGTTAAAGAATCTAGATTGATCCTTTGCAATTGTAGAACGCTTTTACAAGTAAAGGTGTTATGGGTGATGTCAAGTCATGAGAAGAGATTGGTTTTAAAAGGATAAAAGGGGAAGATTTCCTCTCAATCGTGTTATCGTTGGTCTAAAGTCCCTCGATATGTCATTGAAACTTTAGCCTGACTTTAACAAAGTAAAAAAGGTGAAAAGGGGTTTTCGGTATTCAAGCCGAAAGGGTCCGGTATTCGAGTCGGGTCTGGTATTCGAGCCGGATGTCCACGAGATAAAAATACATGTCTTAGGACTGGAGGCATATATCCAAATCCAGTGAGAGGGAAGAAAGTCAGCAACTCTCTCAGCAGTTTTGTCCACAAGATGAGTACACGTGTCTGAGGACTGGGGGCACGTGACTACATAGGCGCGACATCGTCTCGTTGCTTCTTTATACAGGGGGTGATTCAACACCCTAACTGTCCGGTAAGTAAGCGCACTAACTACCGTATTTGCTCCCATTCAAGAAGTGCATGTTCCTGATGGTTCGGCGCGCCTGTCGACTCGTGAGCTAACGCCTACAATAATTCTCTACCTTTTAGTTCCAAGAGGTAGATCTCGCAAAGCTTGGGCTGAAGTGAAATTTTACTCAACACCTACGCCGTACAATTTTGCGCCGTAAGATACACCATTTGCATTTTTACGTTGCATGAAAACGTCTTCCTTTTTGCTTCGGACGTGAAAAAAGAAGAAAACACGGACATATGTAATGTCGGTACAGTAAAATGACAAACCTGTCTAGGGGTGCTTTTACGTAAAGCACCACCACGGAACGTCTTAAGGCACTCTTACGAAAACCGTTCAAAACGTATGCTTGGGGAAGACACAAAGCACGGTGTGCATGCAAGAATGATGCAAAAAACTAACTAAGAAGAAAACAAACTACAATATGCAAAGCAATTTAAAAAGATTTTGATAATTTGCGCGCCATTACGTCTAATAACGAGCAAAAACCGTTAAAAATGGTCAAACGAATCAAAATCAAGATTCCGGTCATTTGTGGGTCGCGCTGCCAGGCGCACGCATTTTTCTGAGTTACGCTGGTATCTGTCACGTGCAACTGATTCAGTTGCGCACGACACTCACTTCAGCAAAAAAGAAAATCGCTAAACGCGATTTTTCATTTCGCTTTCTCTCTCCTTCCTTCATCTATTTTCGCCTCTTTCTCTCTCTAAAGAGCTCGGTTTCTTGAGATTTTCGAAGCTAAAGGAAGCAAATTTCGTCCTTAATTCATATTTGCCATAATCCAATGTAAGTTTTATTTGCTATTTTTCGTTTAATTCAGGCTTAATTGGGGACGATTTTTGAACCGTTTAACCCTAAATTTCGAATTTGGGGTTTTTTGATTCGGTCCATTATTCTTGAAATTGTTTGTTCCATGTTGTTATGTTATGTTTGAGGAGTGTTTTGCAACAAATTTCATGAAAAATGGTTAAGTATTGAACCTTGTATGAGCATTTCTTTGTTCAAGTTCGTTCTTGCTCTTTTTGTTCGAATTTTGCGTGATTTAATTGCTTTTTCTTGCTCATTTTGGTTATAATTGCTGATTATGAAGTAGTTTATAGTGATGGAACCAATAATACTTTCATAATCCATTTTCACGAATTTTGAATTGTTGGAAAATGGCGCGAAACATACTCTTTGCTTATTCTTGCCATGTTCAAACTTCAAAATTGTTTGGTAGACGATAACCATGTTTATATTACTATTATTCGTCCAGAAGTAGTTGATTCTTTGGGATTTTTAAAATACAATCCCTTGAATACTTAGTTGAAACTGATATAGGATGGCTTTTGTGGGTGTTAGAAGCCCCCATTTACTGAGTTTAACTGCACGTATCGTAGCCCCCAAGTATGGGTGGCATTCGATTTTTGTGTTTTGCCCTATCGGCAGCTGTTATGCTGCCGAAATGGGTCTAGAATACGTATATTAGTTTAGTTTAGGAAATAAAGTAAACTAATTAAAGAAACTTTATCCTTCATAGGATGGACTTGCCTCCATTTGTCGATGCCGAGGAGATTCTAGGTGGTCCTGACGAGGCAGTTCACCCTCGGTAGAGGGTGACCCGTCCTCGAGAGGAGGTTCGAGAGCGACGCGTCGCGGTCGATCGACGCCGCCAAGAGGATGTGGTTTGGGAAGCTCCTCCAAACTGGGAACCTAGGGTCCTTAAGTGGGACCCAGACCATCATGTTTCAATCAGAGGGTGGCGTGGCATTGTGAGTTTTTCGTGCCTTTGTTTCTCCTTTTTAAGCCATAATCGTTTTTTTTTTATTTTTATTCTTTTATTTAGAGTGAGCCTAGCATGCGTTTATACGGCTTTGGTGACCTGCGAGCCCGTTTTGAGAGTTTACCCGAGGTGGCAAAGGAGATTGTAGCACTTTCTGGGATGGACTCCCAGCTGGCGGCTCTTCGGGATTTATTGAGTCAGCCTGCATCGTCAGCTTTCCTCTGTGGATTGATGGAGTTTTGGTGGGATTCCACCAACACTTTCAACTTTCCATGGGGAGAGATGACGGTTACCCCTTTTGATTTCTCTATGATTACGAGTTTTCCTTTGGAGGCGAGCCTGTAGTCATAGAGTTCGTTAAGGGGTCAGACGAGAGACTGCGCGACCTTGTGGGGGACCGTCTTGCGTCGGCCCTTCATGTGTACGCGCAGTCTTGTCCGTACTCGATTCTTGCCTATGAGTTGTCGGCTGACGAGCTTGATTAGCATTGTACACCTGATCAGCTGGCTTGGATATACATTGCTCACGTTCTTTCCGTCACTATCTTGAGTGATCGAGAAGAGCGTTTCGCCATTGGGTTACTTATTTGCCTCAGTGATTTAGGGCAAGTCGGTGACCTGAGTTGGGCGGAGGTGTTGTATGCCTGTATGCTTACAACAATGGGCAAGGCGACCCGGGTGATGGATTCCGCGGCAGCTACCGAGGTGCCTCAGATATCCCTCTACGTGGCATGGTCGTATCCTTGAGGTACGTGTTTTAAGCTTCTTTCGGTTATTACTTTTGCTTTTTTCCTTTAGGCTTATCTTTTCTCGGTTTCAGGCTTGGGGATGCTCGTACCTGCCTTTTTTAGCCCCCAGGGTGCTTGGGGCTGCTCGTTTTCCTATCGGCCATTGATTGGTCGCGATTAAGAAGAGACGAACCACTTCTGCCGGCGACTTTCGCCATAGGATCCTTTCGGCGACTCGTCCGTCGGTGAGTATTCCAACTACATGTGCTTTCTTTGATTTTATTTATTTTTTGACGATTTTCCATGTGGTTGTATTTTATAGATCGATCTCCGTCCTTGGAGTTTGATCATCGGAGTCCCTGATGCTATCCGGTCTGGCATGGTTCGTTGCCGTTTCTGGGTCCTCTATCCGGGACTCTCGGTGCTCCATAGGACAAAGGCTTGGTTTTTCGGCGATCGTGTTCGTGCAACTTTCGTCCGAGGAGCCTTTGGTACCTGCGGATCCTCCAATCAGGATGTTACATCAGAACTTGCTGTCTACCGAGGATCGAGCTCAGGCGATCATTGGTTATCCAGCGTGCTGTCGGAGGTTTCTTATCCGTCTTTTATAGCATCCAGGCTGACTCCTTTTCCGGCTTTTGTTCCGGTTAATACTCTAACTCTCTCTTTTCCTTGTTTCTATTATTTTTCGGAACTTTGACCCTTTTGTTTATTTTGTCATGTATATTTTAGCGGGTCGAGCTAGGTGGTTGGGTGCCTCCTGCAGCGGAGATCACGTATACCGATTCTGTCGGATCGGTAATTCGTGAGACCATTCCAGCAGCGGAGGATGATGAGGGGATACCGTTTGTACCTGAGACGGTTGAGTCGGTATGTCTTTTGTGTATATCTACTTAAACATTTCTATTTATTTTTTGTTTCATATACATTTGTTTACTAACTGTCCTTGTATTCTTGGAACAGGTTCCGCGGGAAATCGTGAACGACATGGCGAGGACTTTACGTGCTTTCTGAACTGCTTATCGGAGAGCCCTCGTGACTTTATCATGTCGTGATCATCGGATGATCGCGGTAAGTTTTATTTCTTTTCTTTTCAACGAAGTTATTACATTTCATGTATTAATCTTCGTTTTGGACTTTGCAAAATGTGCAGCAACCGTCTAGTAGTCGCCAAGCACCCTGATTCCTTTTGTATACATATTGTTGTTTATTTTAGGAAACAGATGTGTATTTTTTTTTGCATTGTTGTACATATGACACATTTGTAGATATGTCATCATTATTATATTTTTTGTTTCCATGTGTACATTATTATTATTTTTTTTATTACTAAAAGCAAAAAAAAAAAATTGAGGGAGGGAAAGGGTTCCCGACTTACCTCCCTCGAAAAAATAACCAAAACTCAAAAAAAGGAAAGCGAAAAGAAAACAAAAAAGAAGAACAAAGAGAAAAAAAAAAGAAAAAAAAAAAGAAAATAAGGATGTAGGAAAATGATAAAAAAGAAAATAAGAAAGTAGGAAAATAATTAAAAAAAAGAAAATAAAAAGAGAATAATAAAAAAAAGAAAATAAAAAGAAAATAAGAAAATAGGTAAGAAAAGGGACACAAAGGGTTAAAAGGCAAGTGTATGATTCGTCTTAAGATTTCGTGAAGATTCCATCATTATGTGAGCCAAAATACGGAAATAAATCCACCTCACATGCTGTGACAGACGAGACGCGCGCAATTGCGTGAGTTGCGCGCGACCGTCGCGCGCATGTGAATCAGTTGCGCGCGGATGTCGCGCGCCACCTGGCCTATTGGTGAACTTTCCTTTAAGCCGAATTTGCCGAAAATTTGCCCCTCTTGGGGTCTATTTAAACGTGGTTTCGTGTAGGCTTTTGATCATCTCGCATTCATTTGCTTAGTAAAATAAGAAATTATAAAGAATTAATCTCTCTAAACTCTTATTCTCTCTATTTTTTTTGAACAATGGTAAAGACCTTTGAACAACGTTTGAAGCAATGGGTCACTTCCCTTTCAACCGAGGACAAACTAACTTTCAAAATTTACCACTTAGACCCTTTATTGAATTATATGCAACTAGTGGTTAACTTTGATTTTCTTCATGCCGCGGTCAACCATTGGGACTCTAACCACCATCTTTTCTTGTTTAGAGGGGACGAAATTGTCCCCCTTCATGGTGAGTTTGAGGCCTTGCTAGGTTTCCCTACAAACACTCTCCCTGTGACTTATTCGCCTACCTTGTCAGATCCCAAACCTATATTCTAAAGATTTTTTTGACTTGTCCGACAATGTTATGACCAACATAGGAACTGAAGAATGCGTGAACTTAATTCAATTTATTGAACACTTCGTCGCCCCTCGTGACAACATGACTAAACAACGCTTTAAAATTCGTGCTTTATGTTATTGTCTTGTTGTTAATTGTTTACTTAGGATAGGCAAAGAATACAGAGAATATTCCATGGTGTCCATAGTAGAGCAAATAGAGGGATGTCATTCACCCACTCCATTGGCTTTGGCGAAAACCGTTCTATGTTTAAATCGCCTTAGAGGAGACCCTAACAAAAACGGTTTCACGGGAAGTCCACTCCTATTACACGTACGTTTTTTTTCGTCGTTTGAAAGCGCAAGTTATGAAGTTGCGCTGGCATGACCAGCGCAATCTTTTGTGCTGCGCGCGGATGGCGCGCGCAACTGATTTTGATGCGCGCGCCACCTGCTTGTATAAAAATCGCAAATTGATTTTTTTTCTTTTTTTGTAGATTTGGCTCATGTAGCGTTTGCGAATTGTTGATTAGCCACAAAACCTTGAGGCTAATGGAGTAAGGACATTCCCTGGACGTCGAATCCTTTATAAGCATAAGAATGAAGAGGAATGGACGTCGTTTTTCTGTCATGGGGTTCCTAACATACGTTTTGTGATTCCTTGGTGGAACATTAATAGTATGATTGGGAATAGTCTCAATTGCCCTTACATTAGGCTTTTAGGCCTATCTAGTACTTGTAGGGAATAAATTTCAAGCGTTAACCCCTAGCTTGAACCCCACTGTGATCATGCACTAAAGTACGGTGGCGTCCAAAAGGGAAGAAGATAGAGCAAAAGAGTCACCAACAAGTTTCAGGAACTTGTAAACCGTTCACGAGGAGAAGGTTACACCCCTTAACGATCCAAGAGATCGTCAACTCCATAAGGTCTAGAACCAAATAAGGGTTCGGGGATGAAGGTACAAATCCAACCTAAAAGAGATTAAACCTGCCCTAATAATAGGTCTCTACTTTATTCTGATCGTATTCATGTGCGCTTTTTAATTAACATGCAATCAATAAGATTAACCCTAAACCTGTTTATCTATGTTGGTTGAATTTTAATGCACAAATAAAACTATTATTGGCGATCACTTGAATTATAATCAAATTAACCCTAACAAGATTATTAATTATATTATTAAGTGTGATTACAAGTACTAATTCCCTTTAAACATGCATAAAAGAGCGTGATCAAGCAATAAAAATAAATAATCAAGCAACATAATAAATAATCATAATAATAATCATCATCAAAATAATAATAATAATAATAATAATAATAATAATAATTATAATAATAATTATAATAATAATTATAATAATAATATTCATAGTCATCATAAATTATAACAATTATAATCATAATCATGTTCATGTTAATATTAAAGCATAATAATAGCAAGATCCTAGGCATGATACTAACAAGATTAATAACAAACCCTAGCATGTCACTAAGCAATAAAGATCAAATCCTTAACCCTAACATGATACTAACAATCATAAATATTAGGAAGAACATAAAAGGCATCGCAGGTATCATAATAAGCATATTTGATATTATAACCTTTTTCCTAAACATGATACTAGGAATATCATAATAACAATGTAAACATGATCTATACATCATAATATCAATAAAAACCATTAGAGTACTTACTTTGATGCCTCGTACCTTTTTCTAATTACAAAATACAGGCGTTAGTAACTTCAAGGAAAATAATAAACAAAACAATCAAATTAAATAATTGAAATAGAGATTTGGGACCAAACCCTCAGAAATTAAAACCTTTCACGTCTAGGGCGAAGGCAACTTCGAATATGGTTAGGTGTTTCTAGGTCTAATGAATGCGGAATTTTGTATTAAAAAAGCAAGTTTAAAAAAGAGAAAGAGAGAGAGATGAAATAATCAAGAAAACTTGATGAGAATTGGTGAATGATTAAGAGAGAATTAAAGAATTAATGATTGCGAATGAAAACTGATTGTAGGTGAATTAGGTCTTAAAACGGAGTTTTGAATACGTAATTTATAGAGAAAATCAGCCAAAAAGATAAAATATCAAAACAGAGCACTTAGCGCACGCAAAACGAGATTGGCGCATGCAAAACAGAGCTGGCGCCAGCACCAGCTTATTAGGGCCAGGTGCCAATGGCTGGCGCCAATGCCTGGAGTCAAGCGCCAGACCTGTTTTTGACGCGTTTTTGAAAATTAGATAAGTTTTCCGTACTGGAGGATAAAATCGTATCTTTTCCTCGAAAATGCTTTTTTATTTTAATTAAAACTCTAAAAAGTCAACAAAAGTCAATTTATCAATGCTAATTGAATTAGGAATGAAAAGAACCTTCTAGAAGAATCTAGAAGACTAAAACCATTCCTAATTGCATTAGGAATGATAAATCATATTAGGCCCTCCCCTAGATCATTGGGCCGCACATAAGGCTCAAACCGGGCCCAGTTTAGTAAATTGGCCATAACTTCCTCAATATTCATCGGAATTGGGCTTATGATATATCGTTGGAAAGCTCTTGTCAAGCCCCATCCAACTACACTACTATTGGACCCATATCATGGACCAACCAAACTGGATTGGCTGTTTTCCTAAAATAAGTTTTCAAAAACAGAGAGAAGAGAAAAGAAATTAAAACTATCCGCAACACTAAACTTTCCACACTTTTTCTTCATTCAATTATGATTCGACGTGAAAGGTACTCATCACTGGGTTTGGTTTTTGGGGAGACACATTTGGGTGTCTACAATACTACTTATATTTTTCCTTGCAGGGTAATGAGACAATACGGGATGAAACAATTTCCCCTGCAAGATTGTGATGCCCCTAAAGATGTGATTTATAGACCCGAGAAAATTTTTCGTTGGATGGAGTATTGGTCAAGTCTTATTAGATGGGTAGTACAACATCCTACTGCGAGTATTGCATTATCTTCCTTTTACAAAACTTGGATGAATGCGGCGGATAAGGGCGAATTAAACAAAGCTCGATCTCAATATCAAACCGTCACGGCTCGCAATCAACCTAAGCCCTTGATGCATTCGGCCACCACTACTCCTCCTAGTGGCCAAAACAAAGGGGTGAGAAGAAAATTAGACTTCTCATCTCCTAAGGCGCGTTCGAAGGAAACAAAAAGGAAAGCTCCCTCCAAACCCGCACAACGAGGTGTGATAATCAAGGAACCTTCGCAACAAACTCGAAAAAGGACTAACAAAATCTTCGGAAAAGGGAAAAAAGGTTGAAAAGACCCCAATTCCCAAATTGAAGAACAATGTATGGGTTAAGAAGAAGAGCGTAGGAGAAAGCTCTAAGGTTTCTGAAAATACTGCGATGGAAACTACTCCTCCATCGTCCGTCACAATTGAGGACATAGTAAAACCTTAGAGTGTTACATAGTTTCGCCATTAGCTTTAAATTGATTAAAGTGTAATCACTACTATGTTTTTTTTTTTCGTTTACAATCTAGTTCAACAACGTCTCTCTTTTATTTGAAATTTAAATGAAATAAAATGAGCTTTATATTTTTACATTTTGATATGACCGAATCATAAAGATTGCCTATGTATTCACATTACGAAATCAGGTCTTTGCGTAGTTCTGATGTTTTTTTATTATGTATTTTTTTTTTCTTTAATCTCCTAGGTAGAAATTCAATGAAAAAATTAATCAAACCTTTGTTTAAAAAGAATTAAATCAAAGTTTAATTTTATTTTTCCGAGTATATGTTATATTTAAGAAACATCCTCTTTTTTCCCATAGGTAGAAGTCGCAACTTCATTCAAACGTTAAAATTTAGGTTCGCAGTTCGTCATCAGGTGGCGCGCGCAACGGAAACTGTTGCGCGTGACATCTGCGCGCAACTATTCTAGTTGCGCGCGACACCTGTGCTACGAATGTCTCGACACTTTTTTTTTAAATTATGTATCATTACCCCCCATGTGTGAAGATTTTTTCGAGATGTTTGAAAAAAT